AAATCAGCAACCGAAGTTATCAAGAGTCCAAAGTGAAACTCAAATATGAAGGAAGATTTTTCTCCTTCTGTTTCTTCTCTAGTTCATGGCCTATTCAGAAAGGCAGCTGTCTTTAGAAATACATGGTTTCTAGTTCTGGAGTAAACTTATTCTTTCTCCCCAAAAAGCTGTTAAAATAAATGAGATAAATGTTTTGACAATTCATATCAGTAAAAATATTTAATCTTATCTGAAACTGTTAGCTACACAGCTGAACTGGACACTGTAGAAGAAAAATAAGAGTTTGAAATTTTCTTTTAATATTTTGTTCCTCTATCTTTTGCCCTTTAGAAAGAATTTATAGGGATGATATTTTCTTCCTGGCTTAACCTAGAACTTTACAGTATATCCATTGATTTGTTTCACTCAAAATTGATTAATAATCTAAAATTTTTCTTATACATTAAAATAAACTTGTTCTTTGAAAAGCTCACTTCTCTGACCAACTTTATTGATGAGACATTCCATGGAGAGAAACAATGCCCTATCATGGTTAAAGTTGAAATTGAGTATGAAAAACAGATAAAGAAATGTATATATAGCAAGAAATCTTACAAACCAGTTTTCAATGAATAAACTACCTGCTACTTCCTAGTCACAGATAATGGACATTGTATAAAGATATGCTGTGATCTAGAAACCAAAACAAAAGAAAAAACATATACAGAGAGGGATAAAAGATTCAGGAGTTTATCAATGGAAGCTAGAATTAGTGGTAAAATGTTTGGGGGAGAAGTTTGTTTTTGTTTAAATAAAAAGTATTCATCTGAAAAGTCACAGACACTATAGCCTTTGTAGAAATATTCTGAAACCTAGTCATCTCAAGTAGCTGTATTTCATTTGCACTGGTTGGTGATTTGAGGTATTTTTCCACCACTAAGAGTATTAAACTTGAGGAGCAACTGTGGCTGACATGAGCCATGAATAGTAAGTTCTTGTTAAAAAGTATTCCCCTCCATAGGGAAGAGTGCTAGTTTCAGAAGATTTCTGTTTGTGTGATGAAACCAAAGGTAGCACGATGCACCTTTCTTTGTTTAACACATTTCTTCTTCCAAAATATCTGGTTAACACAGCACTGCTTCCCACTTTTCAGTGCCATTTTGACTTGAAAAACAAAATTCTTCTTGGGCTCAGTCAAGCAACTTGAAACCCCAGGCTAATTCGTCTGGTTAATAAACTGAGGAATCTATGAAAAAATAAAGCTAATTATGACTTCATCTCAAGGACTACCAGTCTCTGCTAAAAGATTACTTTCTTCCTAACATTAATAAAAATACACAATCACTATATAACCATTTAAAAAGTACTCATATCTTCCTATGATATTACGCTCTGTCAATTTTCTCTAAATTTCTCAATTAAAAATTAAGAAAATAACTCATTTGTCATGGACTCCAAAATAAATATAGCTAAAAGGGAAATCTTAGGAAATCACTTTCCTTTACAAACTACTTTCATAGACCTGCTTAATACTTTTCAACTGCATTAAATTGAGGGGATGTAGGATGTGGAGATAGGTTCCAATATCAATAACAGTTGTTGAACCAACATTGAGGAAAAACATTTTTAATATTTCAATTTTCCAAGGTTATCAATATAAAGTTCTTATCTTGAATAAAAGTGGGATTTTTTTCTCTCTTTTCCTTGAACAGAATAATAGCAAAGAAACACTTTCAGGCTAGACCATTCATTTCTACTTTAGCTAATAAGAAAATGTAACCATTTGTTAGTCTTAATTTAGATAATATTACTTCAGCTGCTTGCTATACATTATACTAATGTTACCTCATTATTCCAAACAACAATGCCAGTAACAGCTCCTTACCCTAGATGGCTATAGGTACCAAGGCTGTTTTTATTTTGTTCCAGAAAGCACACCTTTAATACCAATTTTCTTTTTCACTTTTTTTTTGCAATATTAGCTTTATTATAGTAGTCCAGAGCCAAACCTGCAATACGTTGGAGGTACACCTGTACCGTATTACATATCGTAACCTCTTGAAGGTAAAGCAAGTTCCATGAGAGCAAAAATACTGTCTTCATTCTTTGCAGTACTAAGTACAATGCATTTCACTTAGCAGATAACAATAAGTCATACTGAATTAGATTGCTATTCCTTTATGTCAAGGTCAATGTATGCAAGGTTAATAGTCATTAGTGGATCAATTTTTCATTTTAATCATGTTTAAGAAACTTTAAAGGTTGTAACATGATTGATTCAGAGGAAGAAATACACCAACTGTAAAAAGGACTAAAATAAAGGAATTCGTTGTCCTTGTTTTTCAACATGAGACAATACCTCTTAGTTTATTTTTCTAAGCTTTTTTTTTCACTCTTTTGTATTGCTTATACAGATTAAAGAGATTCATTCTGGCAGATTCATGCACATACATGACATACATTGATCATTTCACCCCGTCATCTCCTGAACCCCACCTTCCCCACTAGATTAACGTTTTGGGGGATTTCTCCACATTTATATAGCTGACTTCTTTTACTTAATTGTAACTGGTTTTCCCTGATATTTCCTATATAATATTCCCCTCCCTATGTTCTTCACTTCTGTCCATCCTACCCGTCTTTAATCCCATTACATATTGTCAAAATCACATGCCATTATACTCTCTCTTAATTCAGTACAGGATACTTTGTCAGTTTTCTGGTCCTTTTCAAAGTTTACATAATGCAGGATTATTTTCCAGTTGAGAGAAAAGAATAGATCAGGAGGAAAGGAAACAAGGAAAAAGAAAAATAGAATTTTAAAGCAGGACTCTTAATAGAAATCCATGAAATAGGTGTCATTAACAGCATAATAAACTGAGATTTTGTTTAGACTCACACAAGAAAAAATATTTTGGCTAAATAAATATCTTTAGCATAGATTAGTAGGAATATATTTTGATGCATTCTGATCTCAAGACTTGGTTGACATAATTATGGGCCCCTAAAAGTAACTGCTGGGGTTTAGAACACTTGCCACTTCCTTTGAACTGGCTCTATAAATGCCAAGACTGAGTATTTTAGATTAAGTGAATAGATTAATAAACATCTTTGGAATATCCATCATTAAGGCTGATTTATGTTCTACTGCCAGCAGTAATTCAAAGAAATGCCATGCTCTTAAAAAATATTGCATGTTGTTCTCACCACTTTGCCAATGTTATGACACTATGTAAGAATGACAATGTCTATATTCTTTTGCAGTGGTAACTATTCACAAAAACCAATAGATATTAAAGCACTTTAAGTTTACATAGCCATCAGCACAGGAACCACTCATATTTATAACTCTGATGAATGGCTTTTCATTTATAAATTTATAGTGTATCCATAATTTCTTTAGGGAATCAAGAGGGTCATTCAAAAAATTGCCACAACATTTATCTATGCAAAGATGATGGATATGGTTTGTGAAATTAAATGCTTTTAAAAATTAAAATCATATTGCCAAGAAAGAAGCATGTTCTTTCCTGGTTTGCTAGCAGTTTAAAATGATCAGAACTGCACTCTCAGCAGTTATGATGCTCAAACTAGGTAGTGTATTTATACACTTATTAAATATGTCCAAATATATCATTGTTAGGGTCACACAGCATCATTGTTAACTACTGAATATGAAGTTTAACTTAAATTTTTAATTTTTTTCCAATTTTACTCTGCTATTTAAAGTTACAAAATATGTAAGATACCATTGGAAAAATATTTATATTTGCTGCACTGACTTCATATCCTTCTTCGTGACTAGTTTCAGCATACTGTATGGCTTTTTATAAGTATACACTATTATAAACTACTACAATATGTATCATGCTGCACATAAAATACAGTGGTACCTCAGTTGACAAATTTAATCTGTCGTATGATTTTGAAAAAAAAAATGGCCACATTTGTGTATGTGTGGAAAACATGGCAGCAGTTGTGTTTGTCACCCAAGGCAGACTTCACCAACAAAAACAAAATTGTGCCAAACACTCCTGCTTGTGAACAAATTTGTTTGCAAGCAAAAGTGTTCGTGAACCGAGGTATCACTGTGTAGTTTTATCAAAACTCAACATTAAGTACAAGACCTATTTTACTCTAGCACAGACTTTGCTCATTAAGAAAAATGGATGAAATAGGAAAGATAAAAAATAATCATTACTAGCCCAATAAAAAAGCAATGCAGAATGAGAAAATAGATTCATTCATAGGAAAATGGATACATATTGAAGATATATTCCTAAGTGAAATAAATAAGTCACACATGTGTAAATACCAAATAGTTTCCTTGGTGTGAATAATCTGCAACAATGCATAAGATTCTAATAAGATTACTGACATTTAGAAATGGGAAGAAAAGAGCTAAAGGTGCAGGGAAGGTGGGATGGGTAGGGGAAGAGTAAAAAGGGAACAGAAAAAAATGTGAGAGAATGAAAAGATGAAAATAAAGTGTTTGTAGATGGGGAGGGGAGGAGGGGGTGAAGGGAGGGTAGAGGTAAGGGGAAAAATGAGAATCAAGACTTGTCATGTAGAGGTACAATATCCCAACAATGAATGTAACTGTACTGTATCCCTAAAATGTACCAATAAACTCAATTAAAGCTAGAAAAAAAAAAGCAATGTAGTAAATGTTAAAGAAGAAATTGACATTGTTCCTCTGTATGATACAGTTGGATGGCATTCTTAGTCTCTCTTGATTTGCCATCAAATACAAATGTTTTTTTAAAAGTAGTTTTGCTTCTTTAAAAAAATCAATCCTATTACTACAAAATCTACTGAAAAACTGAATCTGAAAGAGTTTAATTATTTCATATGGCTACATGAACAACAATCTCCAAAATATTTAACTTTCTTTAGGATTAGTTAAGTCAAAAATTCCAAATACTGGACAAATTCACATGCGAGGTATTTCTTATGTATGAAAACCTCTATGTTTTGCTCAACATAAACATAATATTAAAAATAATAAGTATTTTACATACCCCAGTGGATCGCTAACTCCTTGTGAGCAGAAACATATTTTTCATCATCTTCGGGTCATCAGTGGCCAGCACAGCACCTGGAATATAACACACACCCACACATGTATTTGAAAATTGAATGATACAGTGCTGATTGGAATCCATTTGGAAAGTGCAAATTCAAAGAAATAACCATTCTGCACAACAACTTTCCTCCCCTGTACCCTACGTTATGAAAGTAGCAGTGTATATTCTTATGAATATGAATGCCAACATTATTTTTAAACTCATTTCTCAAGTAATTGCTTCTAAATTCATATTATGTTGTATTATGGAATCTTAGTTTTGGTGAACCTAATACAGTCAAGCATTTCAAATTATGTCCTTTGGAGTTAGGCTAACAGAGGTCCAAACCCTGGTTCTGCAACTTCCTATTTATATAATCTTGGACAAATTACTTAGTTTTGCTAGATCAAACTGTCTGTAAAATAAAGATAACTGTGGTATCTTTCTATTAATGTTGAAAAGATTAAAGCAGACATGGCTTAGCATGCTAACACACAGTATACTGTTGATAGATGATAATTATTATTTGTTTTCATTCCTCTTCCACTCCCACCCTTTAATGTGGTGAAGAATTAACCTTGCCCAAAGTGAGATGGGCCTTTGCTTTCAGCTAGTAGGAAGTAATATCCTGGAACTCAAAATGTCACAGGAATATCCTTGTTTGCCTGGAGGCATTGGCCAATCTCCAGTTTAATGATGTGACTTCTGACTGGGGTATTGGGACATGCAGTATCTGTTTTGCCTCAACAAGGAACTGGAAACTAAACACCAACATCCAGAAGAGGCTGGAGGCTAAAGGTTGTCTATGTGGAGTCTCAATAAAACATGATCAAGTCTCAATAAAAACTCTGGACCAAAGATAAGCTTCTCTGGTTGGCAATGTAACACACTGGTGCCAGGAACTTAACACTGCTCAAGAGCAGGGGATGTGCTGGGTATGACCTCAGACTATGCCTTCTGCATTTCTTCCCTTGGCTCATTTTAATCTGTATTCTTTCCTTGTAAGAAAATGGGTATATAACAGGTTTCAAGGAGCTTTGAAAGCCTTTCAAGCAAACCGTGAAACATGAGAGTGGCTTTGCAAACCATAAACTTGCACTTGCAGTCAGAAATGATGGCAGTCTTGTGTGGAGAACTGGTTCACTCTAACCTTGACACTGAATATCTGTACCATTGGCTAAATTCTCCTACAATTCTTCGGTAAAACCAGGAACTCCAAAAGGTTCTGACAGGTAGCTTATTGTACCACTCAATTAAATTCAGTAGAATTCATAATCCAAACTCTTGTCCAAGTGGTATTTGTGTACACACCATGTGCCACTATTTATATTTTCTTCAATTTCCAGTAAAAGATACAGAAAACTTTGGAGTTTCTTTTGTTGTTGTTTGGTAGTGTAAATAGTAGAGATATTTAGAAATGAATGGATCGCATACAAGTAAAGTTTCTAAAGATTAGTGAGAGTAGACCTATCAAAATAAGATACTAGAAAAATAAATGCACTAAACTACACTGGTTTTCAAAAAATATTAATTAAATTCATTCTTACACAGGTTATTCTATGCAACAGATTGTTTACACCCTATATTTTAAATAAGCTTATTATGAATAACAGTTTACTAAGGAGAACTGTAAGATGGTCCAAAAAAATCTCCTCAGCTGGTGACTGCTCTGCGTGATCCCTGGTAATGTGAATATGATAGATGATTCTGCTCCCATGAGTGGGTATATTATGTAACACAGTTGACTTTAAGACAAATTATCTAAGTAGGCCTAACCTAATCACATAACTCCTTTTTACATGCTTGACACACCTGTGCTCTGGATCTAAAAGCCACATGGCAGGAACAGAAGTAGCCTCTAGAAGCCACCAGAGCTTGTCGCCAATAAAGACAAAGGGACATCAGTTTTGACAACAACAAAGACCTAAATTTGGCCAACAACAAGATTAGCTGTAAACAGATTTTACCACAGAGCCTACAAGTAAGAACTCAGGCTGAATCTCCCTATTGAACACAGATGCAAAAATCCTCAATAAGACACTGGCAAACAGAATGCAGCAAATTATCAAGAAGATTACACACCATAACCCAGTAGGCTTCACCCCCAGGATGCAGGGATGGTTCCACATATGCAAATCGATACATGTAACATACCGTATAGACAGAGCCAAGGACAAAAACCACATGATCATCTCAATAGATGCAAAAAAAAGCATTTGACAATGTGCAACACTCATTCACAAAAAAATGCTACAGAAAATTGTAATACATGGTCTTTGTCTCAATCTGATAAAAGCCATCCATCACAAACCAATAGCCAATATCACACAAAATGGACAAAAACTGAAAGATTTCAGTAAAAAATAAGGAATAAGGAAAGGATGCTCACTATCATGCTCTTATTCAATATATTTCTGGAAAGAGTGGCCAAAGCAATTAGACAAGAGAAAGAAATAAAAGGAATATGGATAGGAAAGGAAGAAATTAAATTATCATTATTTGAGGATGACATGAATACTCTACATAGAAGACCCAAAAACTTCACCAAAACACTTCTAAATTTAATAAGCAAATCCAGTAGTGTAGCTGAATACAAATGCAATACTCAAATCAATAGTGTTCATATACACAAATAACAAACTCATTGAGAGAGAAATGAGGGAAACCACACCTTTCATAATAGCATCCCCCAAAAATGAAATACCTAGGAATTAATCTAACAAAGGAAGTAACACATCTTTACATTGAAAACTACTGTACTCTGAAAACAGATTGAAGAAGATATCAGAAAATAGAAAGATAACCCTTATTCTTGGGAAGAACAAATGTAATGAAAATGGCTATACACCCAAAACTGTTATATAGATTTAATTCAATATTGATCAAAATAGCAATAGCATATCTGATAGAATTACAGAAAACAATCCTAAAGTTCATTTGGAACCAGAAGAGATGCTGAATAACAAAAGCAATTCCGGGGGAAAAAAACGTTAAGCAAGGGGCATCATAATCCCTTACTTGAAATTATACTACAAAGCTACTATAACAAAAACAGCATGGACATACATACCTGCCTCACAAGTGCAAGACCCTGAATTTCATCCCTGGTACCGAAACAAACAAACCAAAAAAAAAAAAAAAACTCAAAGGACAATAAACAAAACCCAGCATGGTCCTGGCAAAAACAGGCCTGAGAAGCAATGGAACTGATTAGAAGATGCAGAAACAACTCCAAACACACATAGCCACCTTATCTTTGAGAAAGAAGACAAACACCTTCACTGCAAGGAAGCCTCTTTAATAATGGTGCTGGAAAAACTGGCTTTCCACATGCCAAAGAATAAAACTAGATGCATATCTTTCACCATGCACTAAGCTAAAATGGAAATGGATCAAAGATCTAAATATTAAAACAGAAATGCTAAATCTACTGGAAGATAGCATGTGTAGAACTCCTGAAGATACCAAGGTAAGAAAAGACTTTATGAACAAAACCCCAGCTGTATAGGAAATACCAACAACTGAAATCATCTTATTAAAAAGTTTTTATACAGCAAAAGAAACCAATATAGTGAAGGGACAACCCAGGGTGCAAAAAAATTTTTGCCAGCTGTTCCTCAGACAAAGGACTAATATCTAGAATACATAAAGAACTCAAAAAATCAGATTCCCCAAATTTAAAGACCCAAACCAGAAATGGGCAGCTGAAATGAAAAGACATTTCTCAGATGAAGAAGTAGAAATGGTATATAACTATATGAAAAAATGTTCAACATCACTGGTCATTCAAGAGATGCAACTGAAAACAAGGCTGAGAATCCCTCTCACTAAAGAAAGAACGGCTGTTATCAAGAAATCAACAAATAACAAATACAGACTAGGGTGTGGGAAAAAAAGGAACCCTTCTCCACTGTTGGTGGGAGTGCAGACTGTAGCAACCCCTGTGGAAATAAATCAGTGCGGAGATTCCTCAAAAAACTAAAACTAGGGATATCATTTGACCCAGCTATTCCCTATATACCACAGTGATATATGTACACCCAGGTTTCTGGTAGCACTGTTTGCAATAACTAAATCTTGGAAATAGCCCAAATTCCGATAAACCCATGAATGGATAAAGAAGATGTGGTTTTTATACAATGGAGTGCTATTCTGCCATAAAGGATAAGCTTGAGACATTTCTAGCTACATGACATTGAGACCATATTCTTAAGTGACATAAACCAGACACATTTTTAAATATCTCATTTGTTACTCTGGTGTGAGAAACTGAAAGCATAAATAAGAACCAAAATGTATAACAGGTATGGAGAAAGACATTGGTCAAATGGAAAGGGGAACAAGGGAGGAGGAAAGGAAGGAAGAAAAAAAGAGAATGGAAGAAAAAAATGGAAACAAAGATTTTGTAAATAAAGAAAGAGGAATTTAAGGGAAGGAAAGAGAATGAGAAAAAAAGGAAGAAAAATGTATCATGTACAGATACAAATTCCCTATGATGAATGTGATCACTGTTTATATCTAAAATGTACACACACAAATACCTTCAAGCTGGCCACCCTTAATGCCAGTCTTGTGATGTCCTGAGCAGAGAACTCAGCCAAGGAGGTTTAGACTCCCAACCTGCAGAACCATGAGCTAACAAGTAGGCATTGTTATCCTCTGTTACACAGACTACTGCAAGTCCTTTATTGACTTCTCTCCAATTTTCACTCTGAAATAGTAACTGCTATGCTCTGCTGAATTATCCACATAGACACCAGATGACTACTCCCAATGTTGACAATTTATGTACCTGCTATGAACCGGAAAAGCAGAATAAAGCATTAGTTTGTATGTATTGCTTCTGTGTCTGATCATTTGGAAAACTCAGCTCTTCATCTCCTACATGCACTGAGAAAGCAATTCTTCAATAGGCAGTAATTTACTTCCAACATTTCTTCGGCCTTTTTTGAGGGGTGAAGTAGGCAGTGGTTGTTCCTTCTTGAGGCAAATTTGAGAAAATACCACAAGTTACGTGCAGAGTACACTTGAT